AATCCTCCTCTTTTTGCTGAGGAAGATTGGCCCTGGGCTAACATCCATGCCCATCCTCCTCTACTTTATGTGGGACGCCGCTACAGCATGGTTTGACAAGCGGTGCGTCGGCCTGCGCCCAGGATCCAAACCTGCGAACCCTCTGGCCGCCACAGTGGAGCACACACACTTAACCGCTACGCCACCAGGCTGGCCCCTAGTTGCTTACTTTTGATAAATGTCCCCAAGTTATGTAAGATGTTAGCATTCAGGGAAGCTGGGTGAAGAGTATATGCAAATTCTTTATCTTATCTTTGCAACTACTTTTATAAATCTTTTTATTTATAAATAAAAAGTTTAAAAAACCATAACAACAAAACAAAGGAGAAAGGAGATAGTAACAGACTGAAGTCCCTCAGGTTAGACCTTGGAGCCAGGTGGCAGGTGGCTGTGGCCTTGACTATGAGAGGAACAACTCTCTCCCTGAGATCAGAGGAAAGGGCTGGACATGGACACAAATAATTTGCTAATAAATTTGTCCCCAGAAGTTTGAAATGGAAGCGTTTTTTGTTGTTAATAAAATAATTTAATAAATGACATGACAAAACAGGCAAATAAAAATAGTTTATAAATGAAGGGAAAAAACAAGTAAATGGAACACAGATAAAATTTAGATTGAAAAAGAAATGAATGGTTAATATTACATAGAGGGAGGAAAGCAGCGGCCTTGGACCACGTTCCATCTTCTAACAATTCTGCTCGGCAAGGATACTGAGGGCTGAGATCAGCAACCTAGAAAAGCCCCACTTTAGAGCACTGGGTAAGTTATGGAGGATATTTTCAAGACTGCACTAAAATAATGGCAGGACACTGAGAGAGAGTAATAGACAGTGGAAATGAGCAAAACCGGGAGAGAAGACAGTTGCTCAGCGTAAGGAATAAATTCCTGCCATTTCCTATCGACTCCTTCTATTTACTTTCAGGAACAAACCCAGGCCCTTGCAGAAGCTTTTAATAGATCCCCACTAGTATACTTTATTTACTTAAAATTCTCCTTCATTGAAAGCATGAATAATCAGCTTCGTATCAGCAGCAAGTACAAAATCTTTAACAGATTTTTTTACTGGCAAAAAAATACACAATGATTACTCATAATACTTGTTTCTGGCCCTCCATTTTTAGGGGGCAAAAATTAAGTAAATATATATATTTTTTTAATATTCAAAAGGGATATATTATGTAATATAGATTCTAGAACTTAAAATTATTATAAAAATCAAGAAATTTTATTGCATTATTGTGAAAAAATATTGACTTTTTAGATAATAAGATTATGATTTGAATCATCTTGGGAAATGTTGCATGTTCTTTTATAAATGGACATTGCCCCAGTACATTACAGCTAAATACGGAGTTAGGGTTCTTCGGTTGCAAGCAATAGACTCCAACTATGATTAACTTAAGCCAGAAAGGATTTAATGGAAGGACAAAATGTGTGTGTTTGAGGGATGACAAGGCTCTAGAATTGAAGGAACAGCTGAAGGGGCAGGAACCCAGGCACCTTTCAGAATCCAGGGAGAGGAAGTAACAAGGGCTGCATCAAGGCCCTGATGTTGGTTGACATCAGCTCCAACTGTGTTTTCCATTCTTGTGTCATTCTGTTGAGGATTCAAAGTAGTGAGAGAGGGAGCCCACGTGGTCAGCTTGGGGCACGGAATAAGACAGGGCACAAAATGAACAATGCCTCAAAACCACCAATATTGGGAGATAGGTAATTCAGCAAAGGGCTACTACCAGAAGAAACGGAAATAGATAGGGGGTAATCACTACTTGCTTTATTCTTTTATGCCACCGTGCCTCTGCCTGAGCTGTTGCCTTGACTTAGAGTGCCCATTGACCTGGAATGCCTCTAGTCTTCCAGACCACTTGGTGATCTTGTATTTTCCCCTCAAAACCCAGATAAAAAGTAACCCACTTCTATAAAGCCAGGCAGAGGAAATCACTTTGCACTGTTGACATCTGGTGCACACATCCCTTGTTGAATTGATCACACTATATTGTAATGATTTGTATCTGCATGGATCTCTCCTATTAGACTCTAAGTTTCTTGAGGGCAGGAATAATGTCTTTTCATCTCTGTTGCTTCTGTGCCTAGGATGGAGCCTGTCATAAAGTAAGTATTCAACAAAAGCTTGATGAAATAAATGCAAATAATAAACCACTGGTATAGTAAACAAAAGAAAGAAAGAAAGAGAGAAACAATTTCGAGAAAGCACAAGGAAAATTCTCTATAGACTCAAAATAATTGACTGTTACCTTTGCAAATCTGCACGATGTTTGAGAAAGCCTGGCAATATCTTCAAGATCCAGATAAGAAATAATACTCAGGAGCAAATTGTCTGAAAGCCGCTCAAGGAAGTCAAATTTACCTTCACACAAATTGAAGACATGGTCTAATATTCTTGCACCAAATATTAAGGCAATTTGAACTGTAATTCAAAGAAACCAACAAATCAACATGGTTATCACGTGCAGTCACAAAAAACCATGATCATTATCAGTAAGACACAAGCTTTAGGGCATTTTTCCCCTGGGAGTGATGTTAGATTATGCTGAGTCATTCCTACTTTCACCAAGCTGCCTTTGGGACCAAAGGTATGCACTTGTTTTCAATTGCTGTCCCTGCCCTGAGGTCAGAATCTTTTAGGGACACTGACTGTTTAACACAGTGATGGACTGCACCAAATTCCAGTCCAGACAACTGACTTAGCTAGTCTCAGTGTCATCCTCATCCTCATCCTCCCAATCTCTCCGACTGGGTAAAGAAGCTGGTCCGTGTGGTTTTTCTACTACCCTCTCTTCTCCCCAGATTGGTGTGAAATACCTTAATATCTCTTAATTTTAGTTGACTTTTGTTCTCTTACTGTTATACATTGTTTCTCCACCAAACTTTCTTTCTTCCTTTTCGTCTTTTTTTTTTTTTTTTTTGCTGAGGAAGATTTGCCCCAAGCTAACATCTGTGCCATTCTTCCTCTATTTTGTGTGTGGGTCGCTACCACAGCATGGCCACTGACGAGTGGTGGAGGTCCACGCCCGGGATCTGAACCCAGGCTGCCAAAGCAGAGCACGCCAAACTTAACCACTAGGCCATAGGGCTGGCCCCCTCTTTACCTTCTTTCATCCCTATCTTTACATAATAGAAAAAAATAGGAAGAGGCAAACATAAAAACAGATAAATATTTCATGAAAGTTGTGTTAACTTTTGCCAAATATTTTTCATAACTTTTCAGTTATTTCCAAATTAGGAAACAGTCAACCACTCAATCAAAACATTCAAAAGAATCAACCAATGCAATGGTCTACCTAAACATGTTCGATGTAGGGAAAAAAACAGGGTTTGCTTGTTTGTTTGTTTTACCCCAGCTCCCTGAATAACCAAAAAATGGCTAATAAAGAGGAAAACATATTTGGAAGGATACATATTCAAATTTTAATGGTGGTTAAATCTGGGTGGTGACTTTTACTTTCTTCCTTTAACTTATCTGTACGTTCTAATCTTTCTACAATAAACCTGTATTACCAGTGTAATTTTTTAAAATCTAGGAAGGAAGGAAAGTAGGAAGGATGCGAAAGAAGAGAGGGAGGGAGAGAGGGAAGGAAGGAAGGAAGGGAGGGAGGGAGAGAGGAAGGAAGGAAGGAAGGGAGGGAGGGAGGAAGGAAGGAAGGAAGGAAGGGAGGGAGGGAGGGAAGAAGGCTACCTCCTTTTACAAGAGAGGAAAACGGGGTGATGATGGACTATATATGTGGACTCCAGTGGTCCCAAAGCTAGAGACTTTCCCAGTTTCTTGAAGCTCATTTTTTCCCTTCTGACTCTGAAAGCACCATCATACCTAGCCTTTCCAGAAAACTTCCCTTAGAAGAGAGAGAGTACACTCTCTACTTTACAGGGGACTAAGTGTCCAAGATTTGGGGACCACCGTCATTCCTTCTGGAGTAAGTGGGATGGAGCTGTCAGGAGCACTGGGCTCCCTGCAGAAGCCTGCATAACTGTGATCCTAGAGCTTGATGGATCTCTGATTTTAGAATGGATGTAAGGTGTGGGCTCTGTTTATGTAAACGCTCCAATTGTGCTAACTTGGAAGAGCCAGCTGCATAAGATTTCTCTCCAAAACTGGTTGATCCAGCTTTCCAGAGGCATTAAGGGTTTTAGTTGCTTCTAAATTCCAAGCGCTTCCAATTCAAAGAACTTTTAAAGTCCAAAGGTCTTCCTGCGGGAAAAATACCCCTGACAAAAACCCAACCTTAAAGGGTAGGTATTGTGGAAAACCCCTGTCCCACAAGGAGAAGAAGAAGAAAAAGCAGTGCTTATTTGTTGGGGGGGTGGGAGGGGAAGGTCTTAGTACATACGAAAAATCCCTCAATATAATTGGAGATGTTTGAACATTTTTAAATGCCAGGAACACACACTCAAAGCAGCTTCAGATGTACTTAGGAAGTCTCTACCAATAAAATCTTTAAAATGTAAAAATTATAAAAGAACATATACATCTAGGTATGTAATGTGATAGTTTCAAGGTGTACAAATATTGGGGTATTTAGAAAAAAATTTTCATTTGTTTGTGTTTTTTGTGTAACCAACATTTACTGGTTTTGAAATAAGGCGAAAAAAATGTTAAAACATGCTCCATTTTGAAAAGTAAACTCACTATCTTCATGTTGGACAATGAGGCAGCCAGCCTCCAAGATGGCTCCTGATTCTCTCCTCCTGGATTCATGCTCCTGTGTTCCCATCTCACACGGAATCAGGGCTGACCCACGTAACCAATAGGATATTGCAGAAATATTCCAAGGCTAGGTCACAAAAGACACTGGGGCTTCTGTCTCACTCTCTTGGATCAGTCACTCTGGAAGAAGCCAACTGGCATGTTCTAACAATACTCAGCAGCACTATGGAGAGGTCCATGGGGAAAGAAATTAAAACCTGAGGCCCGAAACTACCACTGATTTGTCAGCCATGTGTATGAGTCATTGTGGAACTGGATCCTCCAGCCCCAGTCAGGCCTTCAGATGACTGAGGCTCCAAGCAACACCATGCGAGTCACTGAATCAGAACCACTCAGCTAAGTTGCCCCCAAATTCCTGACCCATAGAAACTCTTTGATTTAATAAACATTTATGATTGTTTTAACCATTAAGTTTTCAGGTAATTTGTTACACAACAATAGATAGTCAAGGTTTGGGTACCTGCAAGTGTTGTGGTGCCGTGATAGAAACATAACATGTGGGAGTAGCTTTGAAAGTGGAAAGTACATGGAAATTAAATGATTGTAAGGAAGGTATTAGTGAAAACCTGAAAAGCCTTCAATAAATAGTATACAAGTAAATAAAAACTTGTTATAGAAGTCTGATGGACTTTGAGGAAGCGTATAGATGAAGGTTTAAAGAAAAGTGAATAAAATATTATTAAAAACAGGAGACAAGGGGAATCCTTGTTATGTAGTGGCAGAAAGTTTAACAACGTTACTGCCTGCTGTGCTATGGAAAGTAGGAAATATACCTAGTGGGTGTGTGATTTAGCTAAGGAGATTTCCAAGCAGAGTGTTGAACACGTAGCCTGATTTCTTCTTGCTGCTTAAAGTAAAATGTGAGTAGAAAAAGATAAGCTAAAGGAAGGTCTCTTAAAAAGAAGCCAGGATTTGCTGGTTTTGAACATTCTCTGCCTCTTCACCTGGCAAACAATGCTAAATTAAGAATGGATTCCAGGGCAAAGATCAAATCCAGAGCAATGTCAGAAAAACGTGGTATAAAGACAATGCTGAGAGTGTGGCTGTAAAGTGCTGTGTTAAGAACCCTTCAGTCAAGGGGCCGGCCCCGTGGCGTAGCAGTTAAGTGAGCATGCTCCACTGCTGGCGGCCCGGGTTTGGATCCTGGGCGCGCACCTACCCACCACATGTCAGGCCATGCTGTGGTGGCCTCCCACATAAAGTGGAGGAAGATCGGCCAGATGTTAGCCCAGGGCCAGTCTTCCTCAGCAAAAGAGGAGGATTGGCAGGTGTTAGCTCAGGGCTGATCTTCCTCACACACGCACACACAAAAAGAACCATTCAGTCAAATTTTAGAACTTCCAAGAAGCTTAAGAGTGTGATCACTTGGAAGTAAAGGGCAGAAACCCAAGGTAGAGAAAGGCTTATCTCAAAAAAATGTGTAGGTGTGGTTTTGTCTAATGGAGGGAACCCCAGTAAGAATAATAGACAACACATTAAGTTTTTAAGAAAATTATGTCAGCAGAAACACTACCTGCCAGCTTGAACTGAAAGAGTCAGAGGCAGTGCAAAAGGAAAAGAAGACTTTGGACCCCCAAACTTCTACAAGCAGGAAGTAGGCTGAGAAAACTACACCTGCAAACATAGGCTACCTTTTGCCAAAAAGGAAGGATGACTCAGAGGATGCAACCAAGAGTCCAGAGGGGAAGCCAAGAGCCGTGAAGAGTCTAGTGCTAGGTCTTGAGCTCTAATCAAGCACTAATAACCTATACCCTGCTGGAATTCAGAATTTCTTTGGACCAGTGACTCCCGTGGGGCTCCCATTTCTCCACTGTTTCAAGAGCAGTGTATACAGTGGTTCTCTCATGCCTGTCTCACCATTATATGTTGGGCGGTTGAAGGGGCAGAAAACTTGTCTAAATCACAGCCTTGAGATCTAGAGGAACTATCCTTGAGGAGCTGTACTTAAGGGATTACACCTGAGAAGCCCCATCCACATATGGATGTAATTCACATGATGAGATTCTGAACTACTAAATATACTTCAAGTAAGAAATTTACACAGAAGGAAGGAACAGAATTTCAGAAGCAATGATGAAGATAGAAATGGTAGTAAACACAGGCAAATCTAAACAACCTCTATTGCATAAAACATGTTTTAAATAACAAACTTTGGAGGAGGTGTCAAAACACCAGTCAACAAGTACATATAAGGTAGACGTTTAGAATGTAAACATCCTAAGGTCCTTATGTTCGAGAGGCAGAGAGAAATGTTGATAAATGTTAGATTCTTATAAGTAAGGTTAAACTAAATCTGTTAAAATTTTAAGGCACACCACCGAAAAGAAAGAAAAAAATATAAGGATAAATTCCAAAATAATTGCTCTGTAATCAGTTGAAGATTGCTTCACAGCTGAATAGACAGAAAACTTAAGGTGGCCTAACAAATAGGGCTTTATTTTATTCTCACACAACTATAGAGTCTGGAGGTAGGCAGTTGAGGTTGGTGCAGGAGCTCCATTACGTCATTAATGCCCCAGGAACCTTTTTCCTGTCTATTTCACATTCTTAGGATGTGGCTCTCATCCTCAGGGTCCCTCTAAGATGGCTCCTGTTCTCAAGGCAGCACAACCACGGTCCAGCAGGTTAAAGGGTAGAGCAAGGAACAAAAATGTGCATGGAGCGGAGTCTGCCCCCATCTGAAGGCACCTTCCGGGAAACTCGAT